ATAAAAATGTATATTTTTAAAAAATTATAAAAGACATATTGCGCGTCACCTAAAACAGCATCTGAGCGATGGCCTTAAAGGATACAGACTTTTAATACGATATTGGTGCCCGACTTACAGAAAATTGACTGAGGACCAGCTAGAATCAGGGAAAAACAGAAAACCTGGAACCCACAAGTGGGGGCGTTCCGAGGCCATTTGGGACGGTTCCCTCCAGCCCAAGCCTGTCCAACTCGCCGCTGCGGCCGAGTCCCTGTGAGGGCAGATGCGGAGGTTTCCAGCGAGCAGGAGGCAGCAGATTAATAATTCTTTTCATTGGTGTCTCTCTCTCTCTTTCCCTCTTCCTCTCTGAATATATATATATGGTTGTTTTTTTTTAAAAAAGCCAAAGGTTACCACTGCACAGGACCAGTTATTCTTGACTAACAGTCAATGAGAAAATAAAACATTTTGACAAGATTGACATCTGCAAGGGTATTTGCACAGGGATGTGGGACTTGGTAGAAACAATGGGCTCTAGTCCTGACCGGTTTGCTCAGCAGATAAGAGCATCAGCTTCCGGACCAAAGGGTCCCGGGTTCGATTCCGGTCAAGGGCATGTACCTTGGTTGCAGGCTCTTCCCTGGCCCAGGGCCCTGGTCTGGGTGCGTGCAAGAAGCAACCAATAGATGTGTTTCTCTCACATTGATGTTTCCCTCTCTCTTCCATTCTCTATAAAGATCAATGGAAAAATATCCTTGGGTGAGGATTAATAAAAAATAAATAAAATGAAATAAAATAAAGCCCCTAAATAAAACACATAATAGCAGATTTAAAAACAACTATTGGGAGAGTCAAATATCCACTAAAAAATTGATATGCTTTAATAAGAGTCATGACGTTCACTCTGCAGGTTGTTTTTGGCCGAGATCCACTGATGTTGGAATAATGCTGCTCATTGGCCACATTCTCCTCTGGCGTGGGGTGCATGGGGGAGGCTGGTAAAGGAGGGGCTGGGGCGGCCATGATCACGGCCCCACTCCTGGCCTTGGGGTCTCCATGACCTGCTCTCATTCCCTCAGTCTGTCCCAATAGCCATCAGTCCTCCCTCCTTTCCATCAGCCTCCTCTTCTGCCCTTTGCCCTTTGCCTGTGGCACTGGCTTTCCCATTCACCCTCCTCCTGAGGGAATCCTCCTAAACCTGCCATTCCACCCGAGGGTCATGCGTGAGGCTGCGAAGAGCCAGGGCTCGCTGTCTTGTCAGGTTGGAGGGTTTGGTGGGCACGGGCTCTCCTTTCATGGCCCTCAGTCCAGCCGCACTTCACCACGCAAATTCAAAGAACAGGTTTCCACTGGCTTTCTGGCTCCTACACCTTCCATTTCTGGCTCCTACTCTTACCTTTGTTTCTCCTCCTCCTCCTCCTCCTCCTATACTTTATTGATTTTTTTACAGAGAGAAAGGGAGGATAGAGAGTTAGAAACGTCGATCAGCTGCCTCCAGCACACCTCCTACTGGGGACGTGCCCGCAACCAAGGTACATGCCCTTGACGGGAATCGAACCTGGGACCCTTCAGTCCGCAGGCCGACGCTCCCTCCACTGAGCCACACGGGTCAGGGCTCTTACCTTTGCTTCTCATCATTTCTGCCTGCGCTGGGTTTACTTTCCTCCTTGTTTTCAAGCTTCTTGCGGGGGAACGCACACTTTCCTCACACCCGCATCTGGAGCCTCCGGGTCCCTCTCGGCGTGGCTGGGGCTGCGCCCCATGCCTCCTCCGATTATCTCTCTTCCTCATCTTTCCGGTCAGAATAGATTATAATCAATCCCCACATCGGTGTGGCCCGATTCCTCTCAGGGGTGTTGTATGACACCCCGCATCCTTTTCGGGGAGCGAGGAGGAGTGCCCCAAATCCCTTTGTGTTTGTTTCTGTTCCGGTTCTGGGGGCGCAGAGACCAGGATGCGGCTTCGCTGGGGACGGCGTGGCCCCACCCCGAACAGCTCCGCCTGGAGGGGCTGCCTGCGAGCGACCCCCAACTGTCAGCCCACCTTCCACCTTCCGGGTCCGGGGGTGGAAGGACCGCGCCCCCCAGGCCTAGGCGCCGCCGTCAAAGGCCCGGCGTCGGCGAAGGCTCCGGAGCTGCGGGGGCTCCAGGGGCGAAGTTCGCGGGCGGGTCCGCGGCGGCGAGGGGGCGGGGCTTGTGCAGCAGGCCCCGCCCCCGGCGCCGCGCAGGCGCCCTGGAGGCGCCGCCGCCGGTTCCCCAGGCAACGGGGCTCAACAGTTCGGCCGCGCGGTTGGTGCAGCCCCGGCGCCGCCGCCGCTCCCATGTGCTCGGCCGAGGTGGACGCGCACGTAGCGCAGCGGTTCCTGCTGAAGCGGCGGCTCGGGAAGGGGGTGAGCGGCCCCCGCAAGGCCAGGCGGGTCTGTCTCCCCGACTCAGGGGCCGAGGCTGGCATCGCCCCCGCCGCCGGAGCCCCGCGGCCTCGGTTTCCTGTAACGGCCCCCGCGTGGCCTCCGCCCGGGAAACCCGTCAGGGACACGGCGCTGGGTCCCGGAGCAGCACCTGCCGCCGCCCCCCCTCCCCGTCCTGCTCCCGGCTCTGTCTCCGGGTCCACATCGCTTCCTGGGCGGCTGGGCCCGTCCCAGGCTTGGAGCGGGCAGGGCAGGGCAGGGCGGGCCTGGGAGGGCAAACGCGGTGGACGTGCATTGGGAACCAGAGCGCGTGTGAGCCCACGCGTGTTTGCGGTCGTGAGTGAGCACGTGGGTTGTGCAGGAGTCTGTGTGTGAGCAACAGCCAGTAAGATTTGAGTGTGAGAGAGAGGTCATGGTGCCTGGAGGAGGTCCTCCCGGACCCCAGTCCTCCCGGCCTCCATCTCCCCTTCCTGCCTGCTACCCCACTCCATATCCCCCCTACAAAGATGCTGGGGTCCTGAGCAGCCTGCAGAGGCCGGTGCCTCACCCAGAGCCTCGGCCCTCATTGTACTCCCACCCCTCCCAGCAGCCGGGGCAGGAGGGGGGGGGGCCGGCGGCTCACCCCGCTCCTCCCCAGGCCTATGGGATCGTGTGGAAGGCGGTGGACCGGAGGACTGGCGAGGTCGTGGCCATCAAGAAAATCTTCGATGCCTTCAGGGACAGGACCGATGCCCAGGTAATCGGGTGGCCAAGGGCGAGGGCAGGGCCGGCCGTGGGTGTGGGGGAGGAGGCTTAGGGCCTGCTGGCTTGGCACACACATGTGTTTCTGCCTCGTTCCAGAGAACGTTCCGGGAAGTCACGCTGCTCCAGGTGTGTGGCCGAGGCCCCTGCCCCTTCCCGGGGGCAGTCTCCCCGGAAGGAGGGAGCGGGGCCCTCCGCCCCAGAACACAGCTGCTGGCTCTCTCCCAGGAATTTGGGGACCATCCAAACATCGTTAGGTTCCTGGATGTGATCCGGGCGGAGAATGACAGGGACCTATACCTGGTGCTTGAGTTCATGGGTGAGTGACGCCTCGTCAGCCCCCAGCCCCCCTCCAGCGGCCTGGCTCCTGCTGAAGGGCCAGCACCCGCACCGTGGGGCGTCCTGTGCCCAAGGACGGACAGCCTGGCTGAGGGCAGGACCCCCTTGATCCGTCCCAGAGGCCCCTGCTTTGTCCACAGCTCCCTTTCCTCTTTCTGCTCATTTTATAAGATAGAGACCCTGCCGAGACTGGTGTGGCTCAGTGGATAGAGCGTCAGCCTGTGGACTGAAAGGTCCCGGGTTCGATTCCAGTCAGGGCATGTACCTTGGTTGCGGGCACATCCCCAGTAGGAGGTGTGCTGGAGGCAGCTGATCGATGATTCTCTCTCATCGATGTTTCTAACTCTCTATCCCTCTCTCTTCCTCTCTGTAAAAAAGCAATAAAGTATATTAATTAAAAAAAAGAGACCCAGCCCCAGCTGGTTTGACTCAGTAGAAAGAACGTTAGCCTGTGGACTGAAAGGGTCCCGAGTTCGATGCCTCTGTTGCAGGCTCCACCCCGTGTCTCCCCCTCCCTTCCATTCTCTCTAACAACCAATGGGACAGTACCCTCAGGTGAGGGTTATCCAAAAAAATCAAAATAAAGCAAAGGCACAAAATAAGTAAAAATAACTCCACAAACTTGTTGCTGAATCAACAGTGAGCAGGCCCACGCTGCCTGCAGGCCCAAGGGGAGGTGTATGTGCCCAGGTGTGGGGGCCGGGGGGCTGGGGGCCTGGGTGTGGGCAGTGGCCAGCAGAGTCCTGAGCGGTTCCAAGGGGGGCGGGCCAAGCTGCTCTCCCCAGGACCTGGGCTAACCAGACGCCCTGCTGCCTCGCGTCCCCCAGACACGGACCTGAACGCTGTCATCGCCAAGGGCTCGCTGCTCAAGGACGTGCACAAGCGCTACATCTTCTACCAGCTGCTGCGGGCCGCCCGCTTCCTGCACGCCGGCCGCGTCATCCACCGGGACCTGAAGGTGCCGCCCCGCACGGCCCACCGCCCAACCGCTGCCCCCATCCCACCCCCACCCCCACCCCCGCAACCGCTCTCCGACCGTGCGCCTTGCCGGCGGCCGCCCTGAGCCACCTCCGCCCGCAGCCATCCAACGTCCTCCTGGACGCCCGCTGCCTGGTGAAGCTCTGCGACTTCGGCCTCGCGCGCTCGCTGGGCGGCCTCCCCGAGGGCCCGGAGGGCCAGGCCCTGACGGAGTACGTGGCCACGCGCTGGTACCGGGCTCCGGAGGTGCTGCTGTCCTCCAGCTGGTAACGGACACCCCTTCCGGCGCCCCCCCCCCAGCAGAGCCTCAGGCCCGGCCCCCAGGTGCCCCCCCCCGCCCCTCCCAGTACGAGCGGCCCCTCCCATGCTCCCCGCCCCCCGCCCCCCGCCAGGTACACGCCGGGGGTGGACATGTGGAGCCTGGGCTGCATCCTGGGCGAGATGCTCCGGGGGAAGCCCCTGTTCCCCGGCAGGTCCACCCTCCACCAGCTGGAGCTGATCCTGCAGACCGTGCCCCCGCCCGCCCCGGAGGGTGCGTGCAGGGCCCGGGGGGAGGGGGGCACCAGGCCGTGGGAGGCGCCGGCAGGCCGGGCTGGGGGGCAGAATGCCAGGGGAGGCTGTGCAGCCTCCCAGGGCTGCTCCACCCCCTCCACCTCACACCCCGGCGCTCCCCCCCCCCCAGACCTCCTGGCTTTCGGCTCAGGCTATGGGGCCTCCGTCCTGCAGCACCTGGGGGCCGGGTGAGTCAGGCTGGGCCCAAGTCCCGCAGCTTCTGTGTCCCGCCGAGCAGGCCAGGCCCCAGCCCAGCCACCGCGGCTCCCCTAAGAGGGCCCCAGTGTGTGTGTGTGGGGACAGAGGGGACCAGAAGGCCCGGATCTGGTGACCACCCCCCCCCCCTCCAGGCTGCCTGAGTCCTGATGGGCGGAGGGGATCCGGAGACAGTTAGTGGGGCCGGCAGAGGGGCAGCTGGGCCAGGTGCGGGTGTGGGGGGCCGGACCCGGACAGGACGGGACTCGGCCCGCAGGCCCCGGCAGGAGCTGGACACCCTCCTGCCCCCGGACACGCCCCCCGAGGCCCTGGACCTCCTCCGGCGGCTCCTGGTGTTCGCCCCCGGCCAGCGGCTGAGCGCGGCGCAGGCCCTGCAGCACCCCTACGTGCAGAGGTAGGGGGGCCGCCGTCCGGGGGCTCCTGGGCCGCAGCCCGGGCCCCGCCCCCTCCGTACCCGCCTGGTGGGCTCCCGCAGGTTCCACTGCCCGGCCCGCGAGTGGGCGCTGGAGGCGGAGATGCGGCTCCCGGTGCCGGAAGGAGTCCAGCTGTCGGCCCCCGAGTACCGCAGCCGCCTCTACCAGGTGCGGGGGCGCGGCCTCCCCCGCCCCGCCCGCCGCCCCGCCCGCCCCTGAGCGCCTCCCTCCGCAGATGATCCTGGAGCGCAGGGCCGGCGGCCGCGCCCCCAGAGAGACGGGCCAGGGGGACGCGCCGGTGCCGCCCGCGGGGGCCCCGGGGGCGGAGCTCGGCGCCTCCCGGGCCCAGGCGTGCGCGCCCCAACCCGGAGCCGCGCCCCCGCCGCCCGCGCAGGACCGCGGACTCGGCCCGGCGCACGGTGCGTCACGGGAGCGCCGGCCCCGGGTGCGGGTGTGGGACGCCCTCGTCCGCGCCCCGACTCCTCACCGGGCGGTGTCCGACCCACAGGCGCCCCCCGCGGAGCCCAGAGCCCCAGGCAGCACTCGGCGCCCCCGCTCCAGCCTCCGCCCCCGAGAGGCGGGGGGAGCGGTGAGAGGCCCCCCGGGGCGGCGGCGGAGCCCCCCTCGTGGGTAGGTGGTGTGGGGCGGGCACGGGGGACCCTCTGCGGGCCTTCCTGGGCGCAGAGCACCGGCCGGCGGTGACACCCCCCACCTGCCTCCAGGCGAAGCCCGGCGCGCACGCAGCGCCCTCCCTGGCCGCGCAGGCCGCCGCGCAGGGGGCCGTCCAGGCTCTGGTCCGGAGCCACCGGGACCCCGGCCGCGGGGCGAGGGCGGCCAGCGCGCCACGGGTGAGCCCGGCTCCCCAGCCTCCTCCCTCCGTGCCCCCTCATCCTCCCCTCCCCTTCCCCTCCTTCTCACCTGGACCCCGGCTTCGTCCAGGTCCCCCTGGCGCGACCCGCGGAGGCCCGGCCGGGCCGCAGGATGTTCAGCGCCGCGGCCTCGCAGGGGGCGCAGGGGGCCGCACGGGCCGCGCTCGGGGGCTACTCCCAGGCCTACGGCACCGTCTGCCGCTCGGCGCTGGGCCGCCTGCCCCTGCTCCCTGGACACCACGTGTGAGCCTCTCTCCCTGCCCGCTCCCCCGCCCCGCGCCCCAGGACTTGCCCCCCAAGTCCCCCCTCCGCTTTGCTCCGCCCCATGGGAGTCCTGGGAGGCTTGTGCAGAGGCGCCCACTCCAGCCCCATCACCTCCAATAAAGTCACCTGTCCCCAGCCTGCCGGCCAGTCCTTCCTCCTCGGAGGATCCCGAGCCCTCGCACCCCTTTCCTGGAGCCCATGTCCTCTCGAACACTGGTGTTACCCTGTGGCTCCCATCTCCCGGAACCCAGCCTCTCCCTCAAGGCTCAGGGCACCTGAGGGGCTGCCTGTGGGGCGGGCGCACAGGCTAACGGGTGCAATAGGTAGTGAGGCAATTGTATCCATTTGGGAACGTGGTAGAATGTTCTGTGCTGGTGTTTTATTATCATCAAAATGTCAAGAATCACAGTTGAGGAGCTGTGTCACTCAGCAAGACATGGGGGTGTGGACAGGAGGCTCCGAGGGCCCCAGCCCCTGGCCTCTGCTGGCCAGGAACGTCCCCGGTGGCCCTCCCTAAGCACCAGGCCACACGGGAACATTGGTCAGCAGACGCCAGCTCATCCAGCTCCACGTGACCTTTGCCACCCAAGGACAAGTCCTCACTGTCACCCCTCGCTGGGCGGTTGCCTTGGTCACCAGGCCATGAGCTGTCGGGGTGGGAAGGCCGCCCATGTGGGAACTGCAGCCCCTGCTCAGTGCCCCCTTTCTTAGACCTTTCCCATCTGGGCGGTTGGGTTTCTTACTTAAAAAACCAAAAGCTATCCGAGAAGAAACGGCAGAAACACTCATTTCACAAGAGGAGAACCTGTGGCGGAGACTGCCTGAGCACTTGGTGCCAAAAGGTGTCATTTCAAACCCAGTCACTGCCGGCGAGGACACGGGAAAGGCAAGCGGTGACCGAGAGGGTGCAGGGCGGGGTGGAGCTCGGACCGCTGGGACATCCATGGGCCAGGGCTCAGTGCCAGGAGGCCGTCCTCTGCCTCACCTGGGCAGGTACAGACACTCCACAGCCAGCCCCTTCTGGGCTGACTGGCCGTCAGTCAGGGCACATGGGGACCCTTCGCAAGGCTGGGGCCCCACACCGTCCATCACTGAGGCTTGGAGCTGACATCCTGGCTGAGGACCTTGCTGGAGGGGTGGCCAGGTGTGCTCAGGTCTAGGGGCAGGGCAGCCCTTCCAGGACCCCTCTGCTCCCCCACTCCCCCTGCCCCACCTCCCTGCAGGAGAGGAAGGGCCGCCAAGCAAGTGGGCAGATGGACGGGGCGGGAAGTGATGGGAGGCCTGAGGCAGTGGGAGGCCCAGCGGCGGCAGAGGCAGCGAAGTGAAGATGTGGTGTAGCCAGGAGGGTGCACAGAGGGGAACCCTGAGACATAGAAGCCCTGAGATGTGAGGCCCCCAGAGAAGTGGGGACTAAGGCACAAAGGGATGGGTCCCTGAGGTGCATGAAGACTCGGAGGATCTGAAGCCCAAAGAGATAGGGAGGCAGATGCCTGAGGGGGGTGGGGCCTGGAGATGGAAGTGCTGAGGAGACAAGACAGCCGGGAAGAAGGCAGGGGGCAGTGAGCGGCTGCAGCCCCAAAGCGGAGGCCAGGGCAGGCACGGGGTGAGCCCCAGGGGAGCTGAGCTCTGGCTGTGCTCATCCGGGTTCCTAGCTTCTGCGCCCGAGGACCGAGTGCCCTGCTGGCAGGCAGCAGGGGTGCGGAGACCCTGGCGGGCTGCTGGCCGGGACGCTCACTTCTTGCTCTTGAATGAACTCAGGATTTTGGGCATGAACTTGCCCACCTTGCTGTCCCTGGCGTCGTCCTCCGCCGCGCCCTCCCCTGCGCCCCCGCCGGGGCCGCCCGCCTCCTCCTTCTTGCAGAAGACCTCGAAGCGGCTATAGACGCGCTTCTCCTTGCGCATGCTCTCCATGCGTCGCAGCAGCCGGTCGCGCTCCTCGGCGCTGGCGGGCAGCGTGCGGCTCACCCGGCCCTGGGCCCCCAGGCTGTCCGAGCGGAAGATGGCCGAGCACTTGTCCTTGTCGGACATGTCGGGGGCCAGGCCGCTGGCAGCCGGCGGGCGGCCCAGCTCCGGGCTGCTGTGGGCCGGGGAGGGGGTGGGGGCCCCGCGGTGCTTCTGGCCGTGGGCGCTGATCTGCTCCAGGATGGCTTTGGTGTCGTCGCGCAGGTTGCTGCTGTACAAGGCGTTGGCCGTGGCTGAGGCCATGCGCGCCCGCGGGCTCCGCTCCTCCCCAGCGGCAGCCTCCGTGCTGTCCCCGCGGCTCAGCGAGGGCCGGCGGGGGCTCTCGGGCTGCCCGTTCTCCTGCGGCGCCGCGAAGCCGCCCTCATCCTCCGCGCGCCGCTCGCTCTTGGGGCTCAGCAGCTGCCGGAGGCGCAGGGAGCCCTTGCGCAGCACCTCCATGGGGCCCGTGGGCGTCTCCTCCGCGGGCCCGGCCTTCTGGGCCTCTCCCGCGAAGGCAAGGGTGAGGCTGCCCCTGCGCGCGGGCACGGGGGGCACCGGGCTGCCCCTGCGCTCGGGCACGGGGGGCACCGGGCTGCCCCTGCGCTCGGGGTAGGCGGCGGTGGGGCTGCCCTGGCGCTCAGGCAATCCTGGGGTCGGGCTACCTCTGCGAGTGGGAAACCCAGGAGTGGGACTGCCCTTCCGCTCGGGGTAGGCCGAGGTGGGGTTCCCTTTTTGCTCCGAGTGGGGCGCGTCCACCGGGGGGCCGTCCTGCCCTTGCGGGGAAGAGGAGAGGCCCTGGGTCAGGAGGAAGCGGGAGGGCAGCCTGTCGGGGCCGGGGCCGCTCCGGCCCAGCGTGTCGAGCAGCTGGGCGGCCGTGAGCGTGGCGGCCCCGGGCTGCCGCTCGGCCTCCTGGTGCAGCCGCTGCGTGAAGGAGTCGCGGAGGTCCAGCAGGCAACTCTCGAGGCTGCGCCGCTCGGGCCCCGCGGGCCCCGCCTCCTCCCGCCACGCCTGGGACAGGACGGCTTTGCTGTGGCTGGAGGCGGTGACGGCCGTGGCCGGGGCGCCGCTGGCGTCGCGCGCGGGGCCCTTGTACTTCTCCAGGAGCTCGGCCACCTTGGTGGAGGCGGCGGAGCGCACGGCCTCGCCCCCGGGGCCCACCGCCTCGTGCACCGCCTGCTCCTTGTGCAGCAGCTGCACCTTTTCGGTGGCGGCCCCGCCAGTGCCCTCCGCCTGTGCCGCGAAGATGAGCGAGGAGCGCAGCCGGGAGCTGCGCTGGATCAGCGGGTTCAGGCGCGAGCGGAAGGAGTCCTGCTTGGCCAGGCCCGCCTCCTCCGGGCCCTCGCGCTCCGCGCCCTCGCCGCCCCCGCTGCCGGAGCCCTTGGCCGGGAAGGCCGAGGGCCCGCGGAAAGACGAGGGCAGCAGGTCCCCGGCGGCCGCCCGGCCCCCGGACACCAGCACGTCGTCGTCATAGGCCTCGGACTCCATGGGCGCCGGCAGGCCATCTTCCCCCGCGTCCTCCCCATGGCAGCCGCTCAGGTAGGAGGCCAGGCGCCAGTGCCTCAGCCCCGCCCGCCCCTCCGGCCCCGCCCTGCGCTCGGGCTCTGCCTGCAGCCCCGCCTCCGGGCCCAGCCTCGCCGCTGCCTGGCAGGGGAAGCGTAGGCCCAGGTTAGGGCGCGGGGCCCCACCGGGTTCCAGGCCCCGGGGCCCGAAGGCCGGGTCTGAGCCATGGCGGACCTCGCGCGACTCACTGGACGGCACGTAGTCCAGCCGCTGGTGGGCGTCCAGGCCCAGCTCCGGGAGACGCGGCCCGGCGCCCAGGGCGAAGTCCTCGGGGTCCGCGAAGCCCGGGCGGCCGGCGCGCAGCTTCTCGAACAGGCCCTGCGGGCGGCCCGGGGCGAACTGCGGGTCCCACTGGTAGTGCTGCTGGTAGAGCTGGTCGCGGTGGAAGTGGCTGGTCTGGAAGCGGAAGTCGTCCCCGTGGGCGAGGAACGTCTGGCGGGACACCTGCCGCGCGGCCGCGAAGTTCTCCACGGCGCCCCCGCCGTCGGCGGCCGCGTAGCTGTGGCGCTTGAAGGAGTCCATCTCCAGCTGCCGGGCCTGGAAGAAGCCCCGCGGGCCCGCGAGCTCGGCGCCGGGCCCGGCCTCCGCGTCCCACCTTCGCGATGGCAGCCGCAGCCCCATGTGCGGCTCCAGGGCGCCCCCGGGCATCCGCGGCTCCTCCCGGCGGAAGGCCGACAGGAAGTGGCGGTCAGGGTCCAGGAAGGAGGGGAAGCCGAGGCCCTCCTCCCGGGCCGGTGGGAAGAGGAGGTGCGCGCGTTTGGGGAAGGAGAAAGGAGTGGGCGCCCCGATCATCTGATTGGCCATCAGGGGCCCGGCCCCGGAGTACGGAGCCAGGGCATAAGCGTCCATGCGGGCCAAGGCCCCGGCCGAGGGCACCAGAGGCTCCGACTGCGCGAAGAGGATGCGGAATTCCTCGTCGAAGCTGGACACCAGCTCCCCCTGGAACACGTGCGCCAGGCTGCGGTGGATCTTCTCAAAGGACCACATGAAGCTACGGGGGCGGGGCCAGAGTCAGGGGCGGGTCCAGGGTCAGGAGGGGCGGGTCCAGGGTCAGAGGGGCGGGTCCAGGGTCAGAGGGGCGGGTCCAGGGTCAGGGGCGGGTCCAGGGGCAGGAGGGGCGGGTCCAGGGGCAGGAGGGGCGGGGTCAGGGGCGGGTCCAGGGTCAGGGGCGGGTCCAGGGTCAGAGGGGCGGGTCCAGGGGCAGGGGCGGGGCCAGGGGCAGGAGGGGCGGGGCCAGGGGCAGGAGGGGCTCACAGCCAGGGCCTGGGGATCAAGTCTGAAAGATGCAGGAAGGGTGCGGGCTGTGATGGCCACGGGAGGAGGACCGTGGGGAGGGACCGTGGAGAGGGGTCTGCGCACCTGTAGCTCCCGCTCATCACCACGGCGCAGTCCACCAGGAGGAACTTCTCCTTCACGTGGCCCCTGAAGGACTTGCCGGTGCGGCAGTAGTAGGTGGGGCCTGCCACTGTGCGCACCCGCAGGAACTGCGGAGGGAGAGGCCGTTAGGTAGAGGGCCCCCCCTCCCCCGCCCCCCTCCGCCCACGTGTCCTCAGGCGTCACTCACGTCCACGTGGTGCAGGTTGACCCGGCACTTCTCTGCCGTGTCCAGGAAGTGCTGCGCGTTCATCTCGTCCAGGAGGATGTAGACGGGGACGCGGCGCGCGGCAGCCTCCAGCACTTCGCTCAGGAGGTCCACGTCGGTGAACATGTCCATCACCACGGCCACCACCTGGGGGTCGGGAAAGGCCCAAGGGCGAACCCACTGCTGTCCCCCATTCTCCAGCCAAGCCCGGGGCCTGGGAGTCACCACAAACACCCCAAACCCGCCCGGTCTCCCAGGGGAGAAGGGTCCCGGGTGGCCATGGGGTCAGGAGGGGGCTGTCAGAGGGGATGCAGGGCTGCTGGCCGGGTGGTGGCCCATGATGGAGTCCTCCTGGGGTGGCTGCCGCCTCCTGGGCAGGGGCAGGTGAGTGAAGCCCCCGTAGTCCCTCCCACAGGAGTCCGGCCTCTCCTGATCCTTAGGCAGAGGCACAGCCTTTAGCACCTGATCTGCCTGTCTCCGTGGTTTAAACAGGTGCCTTTGCTGTTTACCACCTGCCCGGTGAGGACAAGAAGCCCCCAGCTCGGTCAAGGGCAGGGCTAGAGGTCACTGTCTATCCAGGCACCGCAGAGGACCCAACCATGAGAGCTCCTGCGCACCGGCCATGGCCACCAGGACCACGGACAAGCAAACCGAGGCAGAGAGGCAGCCTGCGGCCTGGGGCCCCAGCCCTCAGGGACCCTGGAGGTCGCTGGGATACCCTCGCTGCCCCTGGCCTCTCCCTCCCCCCGGAGGCGCACGCTTTCCCTCACACTCTCCAGGCCTCGAGGCCCAGCTCTGGCAGTCCTGCCCCCTGCGCCCTGCGCCCGCCAGCCCACCTGCTGGGCGGAGCGGATCATCCTCCGGGCCTCGTCCTTGATGCTGGGGCTGTCGGGGGGCGGTGGCTGCACCAGCGTCGTGACCTCCGTGCCCTGGAAGCCGAAGGTCAGCGGCCAGCCCAGGTCCAGCTCAGGCACCGCCTGGTCTGAGTTCACGGGCCAGTAGGTGCCCGAGGAGCCATCCATGTCCACGTCGGGCGGGCTGCCTTCGGGGGGCTCCGGGGCGACATGCTGTGGGGGCCGCAGGTGGCGGCTCACGTGCTCCAGCTCCTCGGGGCACAGGAAGGCGGGCGCCCCCTCGGCGGCCAGGAAGCGGCTGTAGGCCTCGGGCCCGCCCTCGGCCAGGGCGTCCACAGCCAGGCGGTAGTACTCCTTGTAGTGAGGGGGCAGGTACCCTGGCGCCAGGGGGTTGTCCCCCTGCGAGGAGCTCTGGGAGCGGCGGGCCATGTTGCCGCCGGGGGCCTGGGGAGGGGCGGGGAGGCGTTACCAGGGCTGGGCCAGGGCCACTGCCCACTCGTGCAGCGCGGAGGCTGGCAGGGCCCTCGGCTGGGCTTGGCGTCTGCCCAGGCCTGGAGGCCTTCCGGGCACCCAGACGGGGACGGCAGAGGACCCAGCAGCCTGGGCCTTGCTGCCCCAGAGCCCAGGGAGAGCCCGGGGCCCAGACTCCAGCGGCGCCCCCCCCCCACGTCCCCCCCCCCACCAGGGCCGCCTCCTGTCCTCGGGGGCCCGCCCTCCTGCTCTGTGACCCTTTACTGCCCCGGCTGCTGGTTTAAAGAAAACACCCCGCCTGAGGTCTCTCTGAGAGGGGCACGTTCTGCTCCTGACTTTATGACAACGCTCTTCTGTGGGCCCTGGTCCTGTGCAGACAAGCGAGCGGCCCACACCCCAGGCCACGCCCCTGCCCCCCAGTCCTCCCTCCACCTCGTGGGCAGCTGCCAGGCTTGGCCAGGCGAGCTCGCACAGAGCGGTCACAGGTGCACCCACAGCCCCCCAGCCCACCTGCACCCACCCTACCCTTTGACTCACCCCACCCCACAGCGCGACTTCACAGCCTCCTCCTGCCCTAGAGCCGAGTCCCGCCCCAGCCACGTCTGTCACCACCCTGTTCCCGGCTTCCTTCCGGGTGGAGCGCAGCCTGTGCTGTGCCCAGCAGGCCGTCCGTCCGGCTCCCGAGCCTCTCCGAGCACATGGCGCGCCCACCTCACAGCCCTCGTGGCCCTGACTGAGCTCCCGGGACCCACCTCACGTCCCCGAAGCCACGTGGCTGCCCGTCCCCCCGCCACCCCTGCCCACCCCTGCCTGCTGCTCCTCCCAAGCTCCAGCCTGGAGGGTGTGGTGCCGGGAGTCCTCTGCTGCCGGCCCACAGCCCACCCTCCACGCAGTGGGTGAGGGGCTGCGTGGCCGGGGCCGGGAGGTGACCCCTGCCTGACCACGTTGGGGCCAGCGCTCTGTGCACAATGACCGGCACCTCGGTCCGCTCCCCGGACGGAAGGTGGCCGAGCCGTGTCCGTCATCGTCGGCAGGGCTGAGCCTGGTCCCCCGCAGCCCCGTTAGACAGGCCACGTGTCCTCGGGCGCCAGGACCGGACCAGAGAGGCCCAGGAGGGGGTGAGCTGGCCCTGCTGTGCCAGGGTCCCCGTCCCACCCCAGCAGGGCGGCCCCCTATGTGACCACCGTGTGTGGGGCCCTCCTATGTGACCAATGTGGGGGGACCCTCTCTATGTGACCAATGTGGGCGGCCCTCCTATGTGACCACAGTGTGGGGGGGGCCCTCTCTATGTGACCACCGTGTGGGGGACCCTCTCTATGTGACCAATGTGGGCGGCCCTCCTATGTGACCACAGTGTGGGGGGGGCCCTCTCTATGTGACCACCGTGTGGGGGACCCTCTCTATGTGACCACAGTGTGGGGGGGGCCCTCTCTATGTGACCAATGTGGGGGGCCCTCTCTATGTGACCAATGTGGGGGGCCCTCTCTATGTGACCAATGTGGGGGGCCCTCTCTATGTGACCAATGTGGGGGGCCCTCTCTATGTGACCAATGTGGGGACCCTCTCTATGTGACCAATGTGGGGGGCCCTCTCTATGTGACCAATGTGGGGGACCCTCTCTATGTGACCAATGTGGGGGGGCCTCTCTATGTGACCAATGTGGGGGGCCCTCCTATGTGACCAATGTGGGGGGCCCTCTCTATGTGACCAATGTGGGGGGCCCTCCTATGTGACCAATGTGGGGGGCCTCTCTATGTGACCACCGTGTGGGGGACCCTCTCTATGTGACCAATGTGGGGGGCCCTCCTATGTGACCAATGTGGGGGGACCCTCTCTATGTGACCAATGTGGGGGGGGCCTCTCTATGTGACCAATGTGGGGGCCCTCTCTATGTGACCAATGTGGGGGGGGCCCTCTCTATGTGACCACAGTGTGGGGGGGGCCCTCTCTATGTGGCCAATGTGGGGGCCCTCTCTATGTGACCACAGTGGGTGATGGGGGTACTGTAGTATGGGGGGGCTGGTTACACAGGGCCTGACCCTGCTGGGCTTGGTGGCACTGTCCCTGTTGGGGGACACATCACAGACTGTCCAGGCGCACACAGAGGGGTTGGGGGTCCCATGGGGTCAAGGACCTTCTCATCAGGTAGGACTGGCTGGGAGATGACCCCCATGGGACCCTCAACCCCCCTGCTCGGCCTCACAGCGATCCCCCAACCTCAGGGACCTGCTCCTTTCTGGGGTCCGCACATCCCGGAACTGGGGACAGTGGGGGTCATTCCCCAGCCGGAAATGGCGAACCCCAACCGCGTGCCCCCCCACACCTGCGCAGACGCCTGCCCTCAGGGAGGGAGGGGCTCTTTCCCACGCCCGCCATGACTCAGCGCGAATCCGCTCCGGGCTGACCTCTGACCCCTGACACAACCCTGCCGGTGCCCAGGCCCCAAGGACCCGGCCCGGCAGGAAGTCCACTGCCAGACGGCGCCCCCCCAGGAGGGAGGTGCGGGCTGAGGGCGGGGCCTGGGCCGGAGTGGAGGGGCCGGCGGCGGGTCCCCAGGGAAGGGTGGGGGGCACGAGGGGTCAGTGCGGGGAGGGGTCCAGAGGACGGGCTCCCGCCTGCAGGTCAGGGTGGTGCGGTTTCCGGGGTGCTCCCCGCGGGCGGGCCGTGCACCCCCGGGGTTAGCCCGGCCTCGCCCGCCCCGCGCCAGGTGGGAACCGGCGGCCAGGGCCCCGCCCGGGGAAGGGGCCCCTGCCCGGCCGCCGGCCCAGCCAGGCCGCGGTCCTCAGCCAGGAACCGAGTGGGGACCCGGCAGGTCCACCTGGGCCCGGCCTTCCCGCTCGGCTCCTCCCGGGCCGCATCGGGCAAGGGCCTGGCGTCCCCAGCGGCGCCCCGCCGGCCCGGCCCCGCGCGGCCCGCACAGGTGCCGGAGGCCGCCGGGGCCGCCCCCCGCCCGCCCGCCGCGGGGGCCTACCTGGCCAGGTGCGCGGGGTCTCGGGACGAGGACAGGAGCCGACCGCCGCCCAGCGGCCTCGCGGTCCGGTCGGTCCGGCAGCCACTCCCTGGCGCGGCCCGCCCGCCGCGCGGCCTGATTCACGCGCCCGCCCCCGCCCCGCCCGCTCCCGCGCCGGCCTGCCCGGGCAGCACCTGGGGGCGGGGCGGCCCCACCCGCGGCGCGCCCGCATTCCTCCGCCCGCCGCCCCGCCGCCCCGCCGCCCCGCGCCCCCCGCGCCCGCGCCCCGGGCCCCCCCGCCCCGCGCGCCGCGGCCGCCGGGGCCCCGCGCCCCCATCAGCCCGCCGAGGCCGCGCCGAGGCCCCATCTGACCCCTCACCCTCGCCCCGGAAGTCCAGGCGGCGGGTGAGTTCCAGCTCGGTCGCTAGGCAACGGGCCCGCCCGACGCGGGGGGCGGAGCTTCCGGTCTGGCTCTGAGGCCGGGCCGGTGCGGCAGGTGAGGCAGGTGAGGCCCGGGAGGCCCCGGAGGCCGCGGCACCGCGCAGACCCGGAGCGGGGCTGGGCCCGGGGACTGGGAGCGCACTGGCCCGCCCCCCGCCCCCCCGCACACCGACGCCTGCAAGGACCTGGGCCCTGCAGGTCTCAGGGACCCTGGCGCACACGTCCCCCCAGATGCCCACAGCTACAGGGAGCCATGCGCACAGGGGACCCCACACCTACACCAACCACGCCCCACTCGCTGGCCCCCACGGCCACACACAGGCTCAGGTGTTCTGCACCCCCACATGGACAGGGCGCCCCTGCCCATACCAACCCTCTGCCACGTACATGGGACCTTGCAGCACAGGAACCCTACGTGCACACCAAGCCCCGCACATGCCTATCAGCCAGGCACCCCCCAAAGTCCACACACACACACACACACACACACACACAGGGGTCCCCCACTCTGCACGGCACCCTCCCCACAGGATTCTGCACAGAGATGACCCCACAGCAACACTGAGAGTCCCCCCCACACACACACACACAGGGGTCCCCCACTCTGCACGGCACCCTCCCCACAGGATTCTACACAGAGACGACCCCACAGCAACACTGAGAGCCCCCACACACACCCAGGGACCCTGTAAGTGCTGACCACATGGAGCAGGGGACCCCATTCACCCCCAACACCTCTCCGCTGTCCCTATGTGCCTCCGTCCTGCCAGTGTCTCCCCAAAACACTCAGGGCCCCTGCTCGGAGCCCCCCAGGCCCCCGCCCCTCCCTGTCATGCCTGGGCTGCTTGCTGCCAGTCCGTCGCCTCCCCCAGCCCTCCCCACCAGTCCCCGTTGTCCAAGCTTCGGGTTATCCTGTCCCCAAACACTCGGCAACTCTCCACAGGAGCCAGCGGGCGGGTCAGACCGTGCCCAGGCCGCAGCCCTGCAGTGGGGCACCAGCTGTGGGGGAGGGGAGGAGAGGGGGTGTCCCAGAGAAAGACAGGAACTTTGGGGTCAGCTGAGCAGACTAGGGGAGCACAGGCCCAGGCCAGGGAGAAGCGCCGGGGGCAGAGGGGCGGGCTCCACTGTGTGTTAGATGAAGCTGGGCCTGCTGGCCGCCCAGTGGTTTGGGCAGAGATGACAACAGGACCCCCCCACCCTGGGGGTTGTGGTCAGGCCCTGGGCCCAGAGGATGGAGCTGGGGGGCAGGGGGCAGGGAGGAGGGGACGAGGGACTGAGCTGTGGCCAGCGACCTTGCTCGGCATCCCCACCGAGTGCCGGCACACATGCCAGTAACCAGGGCAGGCAGGTGGCCGGAGCGGCCGGCGCGGTGTGGACACCGTGTCCTGTGCTCCCATCAGGCACCTGCCGACTCCCCCAGATGCCCACAGCTACAAGGGCCTGGAGCAGCCGCCTGGAAGGCGTGTGCTGTGCTGTGCCCGCTGCCCCCCCACGCTGAGCACCCCTCCCTGACCTCCCTGCCCGCCCTCAGGAGGATGAGCAGTGAGAAGCAGGGCCCCAAAGCAGCGTCAGGAAAGAGGCAGCCATCCCCCCCGGGCGCCGAGCCCAGAGCCACTGCTGGTGAGTGCCTGCCCCTCCCGACCTCCAGGGCACCCTCAGACCCTCACTTGTGAGACCCTGTCCTCCGAGGTAGGGGTGGTGGCAGACTGAGGGCTCTGAGCTCCGATGTCACTCCAGGCCCTGGGGTGGGGTCAGGGCCCGGGGGCCGTGCTCAGGGGAGGGAGATGGGTAACAGGCTGTGAAACGGAAGTTTGCATCCATGTTGGCAAGTCACAGACTAAATCTGTGGTCCACTCTGACCCCGGCTCCACCTGCTGCAGCTCTGCAGCTGCCTCTCCATGGCCACGGCCAGGCTGAGTGGAGGCAGCTTGTCCACCTGGCCATGCCCACCCGCCCGCTGTCACCCCCCTGCTCCGCGCCCCCGCCTTCTCGGTCGCCACACCTTCCAGGCAGAGGGGCTGTGCTGGCTAAGAGGGGGCATCCCTCCCACATGGAGCCGGCCTGCTGAAGCCCTGGACCCCGGAGGGCTGGACCCTGGAGGCCCCGAGGCCCTCGGACCTGGCTGGACGGGGCGCCTGCTCTTCAGGCCTCGTCGGGGTGGGACCCTTGTTCCCCCAAATAGCCCCAGCGAGTCAGGGCAGCCGGTCCTGGAATGAGGATGCTGGGCTCGGGGCCGCTGCTGCTTCCACCATCGAGCCCCAGACGCGCAGTAAACAGGCGGCAGGTGCGCCGGAAGCTGCACTGGGGGCGGGACCTGCTGGCTGTCCCCCTCCCCCCGAACCCTGCCCTGGACAGCACCCGGCCAGTGCCTGCGGCCTCCACAGGAACACCCCTGCCTCAGTTTCCCTGAACACGCGGCCTGCCCGGGCACCCGACCCGCCAGCCGTGGGCCTCAGCCTCACTTTGCAAATGTGGAGTCAGGTCTGAGGTGTCCTGCGGCCCATGCAGGTGCCTGTGGGTCAGAGGTACCTCGACACCGCCCGCCCGCCCCCCCGGACGGCCAGGGCCACCCCCGCCCCCCGCGTGCCCTCCAGGCCTTACCTGGCCCTGGGTCTGCAGTACCTCAAGGCCCTCGCTCTGGAGCTGCTCCAGGGCCACGGCCAGCTCCAGCCCCTCCATGCGCACCCAGGCCTGCTCCTCCTGCAGCTGCTGCAGCCACAGCTGCTCCTCCCGCCACAGCTGCTCCCACCACAGCTGCTCCTCCTGCCACAGCTGCATCTGCAGCTGGACCTGCCGCCGGCGGTCCGCCAGCAGCTGCTGCTCCTGGGCCAGGCACAGCTGGACCTCCTGCAGCCTCAGCAGCTCGGCGCCCAGGCTGTGCGTGCGGCCCCCCGGCCGGCCGTCCTCCATGTCCGCCGCGGGGACTGGTACCAGCTCGGACGCCGGAGCTGCGGCCGGCACTGGCCTCTCCACTGTCTGTGGCCGCTCTGGCCTGGCCGCCTCGGGATGCCCCCGGGCAGCTGGCTGGCTGCCGGTCACGTGCCCGGCAAGGGCCACCCCTGTCTGGTCCGGAGGGCCCGCTGCGTCGGGGGGCGGGGGCTGGGCCTCAGGGCCCTGCTGCCCCGGAGCCTGCTGGGCCCTGCCCGCCCTCCTGGCACGGGGCTTCCGCGCTCGGCTCCGTTTCCCAGACATGGTCCCGATCCGGCGTCGGCTGCCGGGGGCCCTGGCTCATCGGCAGGCGGCCCCAGGTCCTGGGGGCCCTGAGGGGGCCCGGGAGACGACCGTGGGCCCCCGAGGCGGCTGCTCTGTGCCCGCCCTGCCCCTCGGCTGGTCCCACGGCGCCACGGCCCGGCTCCGCCTGTGGGCCTCGCGGGCCGACTCGGGGGCCGGGCCACGCCGGGAGTTTATGGGGACTCCGGCCGCGGCTCACGCGAGGCTGACTAAGGCGCTGCTGACAAGGGCGCAGGACTTTACGGGCCGGGGCCTCGCCGGCCGGCGGGGAGGGAGGCTGGGAGAAGCTGGAGGAGGTGACTCCGCAGCCAGACCGAGGCTGGTGCAGGGCGAGTCGAGTCCTGCCCTGGGCGGGCACCCCTACCCCATCCCAGCCCCGGTCTTGGGGCTCAGACTCCAGCCCACAGGGCCGGGCGCTGTGTCCCTGCGTCCCTCACTGGCCACAGACAACCCGACAGGACCAGCAGGGGGACGCAGGGCCCGGCCCACACTGAGCATGTCCCCCCCGCCCCCCCCCCCCCGCCCGCACACACAGACTCCCACAGGAGCCGGGCCGGCTGCCCGCGCCCTGCCTTGCCCGCGGGGAGGATGGACCCTCTGCCGGCCGGGACGCCCTCCGAACGGCTGCCCGGTGGCTGGAGGCAGGTCCTGGCCGGGGAAGGCTCCGCCCGGTGGACTGAGATGAGCGGCAGGAGGCCCCGCCCACTTAGGGTGCAGGGGCTCGAGGCCCTGGTCCTGGTTGGGGTGTGGCTGCCCTGCCACCGACAGGGAGCCCCAGGAGCTCCCCAGCCTTTGTTTGGGGGGACGCGGGCCCATGTTCCTGCGTCCCCTGCGCTTCCCATGGGGAGGGGGCCCCCCACGGCTTCCTCCCCAGCTTTCCCCAGCCGGGGGCCGCTGACTCACCCGCACGCCAGGGCAGTCCCAGCCAGCTCTGCCGCACTGGCCCGACTGGTTTGCCTGGCACAGCCCTGCCCACACCCCTCCCTCCCAACCCGCCCGGCCTTTGCCCTGAGACTGGGGGAGACAGACGGCAGCCACCACACCTGGCACAGGGGGCACAGGGAAGAGGAAGGCTCTGGAGGGCGGTGGCCCTGGCTGGGGCAGGGCTGAGGGGAGGCGGGCAGCAGGCGCCCCCTGAGCCAGGGCCACTCCTGGCTCCCCAGCGCCTGCTGCAGGGCCAGGGGCCGGGCAGCCCTGGCTGGGGCACTGCTGGCACTGCCGCCCTGCGGCACGGACGCGGCCTGGTCGCTCGTTAAAGCTGCTGCACGGAGGGTGCCCCTAACAAGCAGGCCAGCTGCCCACAGGAGGCCCGTAAACGCCTCCGAGGGGGCGGGGCTGGGCTGGGTCTCCCCCAAAACCAGGAGAGCCCCAGTCACGGGGGGGGGGGGGGGCTGGAGAAGGAGCCACAGGGAGAGCCCACCAGCCGCCAGGCCAGTGAGGAGGGGAGGACTCAGCTGGCAGGAAGCAGGCTGTTCGGGCTGATGCCATGTGCTATCCACGTGTGCACACGTGTGCATACAGGTGTGCACACATGTGAGAGAGCATGTACATGATCATGCCAGATTGTATCCGTATGTTATTGTGCCCGCGTGTGCACATATGCGAACATGTGTGCACACATGTACATGTGTGTGAATGATTGAATGGGCTCCTGGACGAGCAAGTCCCTCCCAGTAGCAAGTGGGGAACCCTGTCCTCCCTGCTCCCACTGCCCGGCCCCCGCTTTTCCGTGAGGGCTGGGCAGGTGGCACGGTACCTCCCAGGGGTGCGGCCTCTTGGGGGCCCCCTCCCTTCGCCCTCCAGCGCCCTCCTTCCCCCTGGAACTCGGAACGGGAGTCGTGGTGTCTGCTCCGGGTGCTGTCGCCCTCCAGTGGCAGGAGCCAACCTCGGAGGGCACCAGGGACAGGAGGGCGTGGTCCCGCCTCCGTGACCGCCCAGCCTCTCCGCTTGGCCAGCCCTCTCTCCGCAGCCTCCCAGCCTGCAGCCTCCGGAGCTGGAGTCCCCGCCCCCAACCCTCCTCCCTGCTCCAACCGGACTCAGCTGCCAGGTCCTTCAGCCCCCGGCGCACCCCTTCCTCCTGTCCCATCTGCGAGGCTGCTCCTCGGGACCTGGGCCAAGCCCTCCCCCAGTGTGTTCTCTGCGCCCCCACCCCACGCCTTGTGCACAGTTACCCTTCTGGACGGTGGCCTGACCCCCAGCAGCACCGCCACCTTGGCCCCCCAGGGCCCGATAGGGAGCCTGACCCTGACCCAGGACGGGTGGACCACAGAGGTCTGTGACGGACTGACTGTGGCTTTATTTTTAAAATCCTCACCTGAGGATGTGCTGGAGAGAGAGAGAGAGAGAGAGGGAGGGAGGGAGAGAGAGAGAGAGAGAGAGAGGGAGAGGAGGGAGGGAGGGAGGGAGAGAGAGAGAGAGAGAGAGGAGGAGGAGGAGGGAGAGGGAGGAGAGAGAGAGGAGAGAGAGAGAGAGAGGAGAGGAGAGAGAGAGAGAGAGAGAGAGAGAGAGAGGGAGAGGGAGAGGAGAGAGAGAGGGAGGGAGGGAGGGAGAGAGAGAGAGAGGGAGAGAGAGGAGAGAGAGAGAGCGCGCGACGTGAGGGAACACCGATTCGTCGCCTTCCCGTATGTGTCCCTCGGGGATCGATCCCACAACCCCGGCCTGTGCCCTGACTGGGAATCGAACCCGAGACCTGTCAGTGCACAGGACGACGCTCCAACCAACCAAGCCCTCACCAAGGCCTGACGGTTGGTTTTCTAGAGGCTCCAATGCCCGGCCTCGGCCCTGGCTCCGGGCTGCCAGCCGGGCACAGCAGGGAGAGCCTGCAGCGGGAAGGACCCCAGAACCGGGAGCCTGGGCTGGAAGCAAGCGCAGGGCACAGGCCGGGCGGCCCAGAGGCCAGCCCCTCTGCTGCCCCTTCAGTTCCCGCAGCCTGAGGGCGGCCTCCGCTGCTCAGGGGGCAGGGCCAGGTGTCCCCCAACCGTTTCAGTCTTTGTGGTGGGCAGTGAGCTCCCCGACTGCTCCCGATGACCCCTGACCTTAAGGTGGGAGCCTGGGTCGTGGGCGACAGGCCAGCGACTCAGGGGGCCGGGGTGCGTCACTTCCTGTGGGTGCACCGGTGCCACCCGCCCAGCCCCCACCTCTGCCGGGTCAGCCAGCCTCTGGGGGATGCCCAGAGCCTTAGGGGTGCCATCCTGTGGGGTCCACAGTGGCTTCCCTGCCAGAGGCCATCTTTTCACCTTTCCCTAGTTTCCTACCAACGTCCTCCCCGGGCAAGGGGCTCAGGGGGCTGGCGGCTCCCCGCTGTCTGGGGTGGGACCGCATGGGCCTTCCTGCCCAGACCTGGGTGTCCCCTTGCTGGCTCTGCCGGTGGCCGGTGGCTGGTGGCCAGTGGCCAGGTTGCTCTGGCTGGGCCTGTGGATGTAGAATGTGCCCTTCAGTGAGGCTGCAATGTTAGGGTTAGGGTTGGGGTTGGGGTTAGGGCTGTGCTCACACACCTGGACCCAGGAGCTGGTTCCTCACCAGGGCCAACCCGGGAGGACCAGGCGGCCACCGTCATCCAGTGCACTTTCCGGCGGCACCTGGCCAGGAAGGAGCTGGCCCTGCGGCGGCAGAAGCACGAGGAGTACCTGGAGCAGATGGAGAAGCTGCAGAGAGAGGTGGGACCCGGTCCGGGGCGGAGCCGTGGGAGTGGGGCCTGGGGTCAGGTCCTAGGGGTGGGAGCTCAGGGTGCTGGGCTCATGACCTCAGGGCGGGGGGCTATGGCCTCAGGGCTGGGGCCGTGGCCTCAGGGCATTCACTCCCTCCCCCAGGCCTTCCTGGCGCTGGTGCAACGCGAGCGGGAGGTGGTGCGGCGCCGGCGGGAGGCGGAGGCAGAGGCGGAGCGGCGGCGGCAGGAGGAGCGGCGGCGCCAGGAGCGCCTGCTGGACGCAGCCTTCGAGGGGAACCTGGCGGAGATCCTGGCCGTCCTGCGGGAGGCGCGCGGGGCGGGGGCGCGCGGGGCGGGGGCGCGCGGGGCGGGGGCGCGCGGGGCGGGGGCGCGCGGGGCGGGGGCGCGCGGGGCGGGGGCGCGCGGGGCGGGGGCGCGCGGGGCGGGGATCCGGGTCGGTCGGAGGTGACCGGAGGGACCCGGGCGCAGGTGGAGGAGCTGCTGACGCGCGAGGGCGTGGGCCACGATGAGGCGGGGCTGGCGCGGCGGCGGCAGCGGCGGGTGGCCCTGCTGGAGTGCGAGGACTCGGGCGGGAACACGCCGCTGTCCGAGGCGGCCGTGGGCGGGCAGCCCCGGGCCATCCAGCTGCTGGCGGAGCAGGGCGCGAGCCCCAACTGCAAGGTGGGCGCCGAGCCCGGGTGCGGGGTGCGGGTGCGGTGGGGAGCGGGCCGGGGCGGGGGCGGCGGGGCGGGGTGCGGGGCGGCCCGGGCCGGGGCGGGGGCGGCGGGGCGGGGTGCGGGGCGGCCCGGGCCGGGGCGGGGTGCGGGGCTGGGGGCGGCGGGGCAGGGTGCGGGGCTGGGTGCGGGGCGGGGGCGGCGGGGCGGGGCGCGGGGCGGCCCGGGCTGAGGCGGCCAGCCCTCCGCAGGGCGCCTTCGGGCGGACGCCGCTGTACAGAGCCGCCTTCGGGGGCCACCTGGAGGCCGTGGAGGTGCTCCTGAAGCTGGGAGCCGACCCCCGCGTGTACGCGGACGACGGGAGCACCCCCGCGCAGGTGGGAGCACCCCCCAGCCGGGACGGTGGCCTCGCTTTAAAAGAAAAAACACACTTTATTGATTGTTGTAGAGAGGAGGGGAGGGGAGAGGGAGAACCGTCGTGGGAATCTTTGGCCTGCTGCCTCCTGCACGCCCCGCGCGGGATGGAGCCTCCGCCGGCACCGCGGTCACACCTGCCCATCAGGGTCCTGGGTGGACCCCCAGCCGCGGGGCAGCCCCGCCCACGTCCTTCATTCCTTTAAGCGGCTCGGACCCGCACGGCACGGCCCATCCAGGCGTCTGTCTCCCACCCCAGCGGGAGCCCCGGGATTGAGGGGCCTGCTGGGGCGCCCCCAGGTTGCCTTTCCAGGCTGCTCCCCCTCGGCCCACCCCTGGGGCCCTCGGCTCCTCTCTTTCATATCAGGGCGGGGAGGCGAGCAGCGGAGCTTCTGGCTCCACAAGGGAACTCGTCCAGGAGGGCCAAGGGCCCAGGCCGTGAGGAAAGGGGGCCGTGGCCGTGGCCAGGGGCGGGGCCCAAAGGAACTGGCTGGTGCCCGTGGTGGTGGCTGCACAGATCGGCTGGTGCCCACACATGTACACGCACAAACACACACACGTACACACACACACACGCACGCGCGCGCACACATGCACACACACGCACATACATGCGTGCACATACATGCACACACATACACACATACATACACACACGCGCGCACACACACACACACACACGGGTGAACTGTTGTAATGGGACAGCGGTCTGGGTGGCAGCCACCTCCCGGCCTGGACACTGTCGGTGTTGTGTGAGATGCCATCGCTGGGGAGACTCGCTAAGGGCACAGGAACCCTCCTATCGCCTCGACCTCCGTGAACTGTCAGTTTCCAAATAAACATTTAATGGAATGACCAGGCCTGGGAGGCGGCAGGAACGTGCCCCCGGCGAAGAGCAAACTCGGCCACCGGCGACGGCGAGAGCACTGGCTCACGGTCACCATCACCCAGCCGTCCATCAGCGCCACATCCTCGCCCTTCCTGCCACGGCAAACCACCCATTAACCCGAACCCCCCTCCATCCGTACACACGCTGACACTGCTGACGGGAGGTTCTGAGGAGGCAGGGACCGTGGTTAGTGCGCGCTCTGCTCTCGGGTCCTGCATCCTGGGTGTCACAGGAAAGAGACGCAAAGTTGTTTTGAACCTGCCGGCCAGGAGGTTGAGGTTTGAGTCCCGGTCAGGGCACGGGCCAGGGTTGTGGGCTCTCTCATTGCTGTTTCTGTCTCCCTCTCTGACATCAATTTTAAAAATATATACTTACTTTATACATAAATAAAATAAAGCGGGCCGTACATGGAATGGCCTCCCAGGCTTCATGTAACCAGCCCTGCCCGGACCCCTCGCCAGGTGGCCTCGCTGGACGCTGTGGTCAGCGTGCTGCAGGCCTGGGACCTGAGCCTCACGGAGGCCATGCTCCAGAACATGGAGGCCGAGCGGCAGCGCCGGGCGCAGGAGGCCGAGCAGCACAAGGAGGCGGAGGCTAAGCGGTGCGCCTGAGGGAGGAGCCGGCCGCGGCCCCCAGCCCCGCAGGCGCTCTGACCCGCCGCTCGCTCCCTCCCTCCCTCCTCCCTCCGCAGCCTGAACCTCAAGGTGCAGCAGCTGGCCAAGGAGCAGCAGCGGTGCCACAAGGAGGTGAGGCCCGGGGAGCGGCCGGCGGGCGGCGGCGGAGCCGAGGGGAGGGGAGGGGGAGAGCCCTGGGCTGCGGCTGAGGCCCAGGACAGCCTGCGCCGCCCCCGCAGCTGCACCAGGCCTACTGCGAGCTCAACCGCAGGATCGCCGAGCACGAGAAGTGCGAGCGGAGGCCCGCGGGCAAGGCCCAGCTCACGCTGCAGGTGGGTCCTCCCGCCCCTGCAGGTGGGTCCTCCCGCCGGGAGCGTGGGGTCCCGCGGCCCGTCCCCCCCTCCCCCAGCGCGGCCCTCCAGTTTGGGGGACCCGCTGGGGCCGTGGGAGCGGCGCTCAGAGCTCGTGGCCCCGCCCCGCCCCCAGGCCGTCAGAGACGCGGAGACGCAGGTGGACCGGCTGCGGCTGGAGGCCCGGAAGGCGGAGGAGACGCTGGCCCTGGCGAGGCTGGAGCTGCGGGAGCAGACCCAGGAGGGTGGGCGGGCGGGCGGGCGGGGCTGGAGGCTGGCGAGGCCGGGCCGGGAGGGGCGCCGGGTGGAGACTGGCTGCCCCCTTTGTCCCCGCAGGGGGGGAGGAGGAGGAGGTGCCGGGGCTCAAGTGCCAGGTCACCGAGCTGCACGACGTGCTGATGAAGGACGTGGGCGACCGCATCCGCGCCGACGGCCGGTCAGTGGCCCGGCGTGGGCGAGGGCCGATCCGAGGGCCCGGGCGGCAGCGTGACCGGGCGGCCGCCCGCAGGTGGCCTCTTGTCATCGACCCCTCAGGCCAGGCGGCCACCTTCCTGCGCTACCGGGACACCAACTACGTGGACACGGTGAACCCCGACCACCTGCAGCCCGAGAGGATCCGGCTGGCGCTCCTGGGGGCGCTCAGGTGAGGCGGCGGGCGCCGGGGCCCTCGGGGCGCCCCTGCCAGCCCCCCGCCCGCCCCGCCCCCACCGCCCGCCCCGCCCCCACCGCCCGCCCCGCCCCCCCACCGCCCGCCCCGCCCCTCACCGCCCGCCCCGCCCCGCCCCTCAGGTATGGGAAGCCGCTGGTGTTCGATCTGCGGGAGATGGACCTGTTCCCCGCGGTGCAGCGGCAGCTGGAGGCGGTGCAGCAGGGCCTGGCGCAGGAGCTGCTGAGCCGCAGGCTGCTGGAGCAGGACCGCTACCTGTCGCTGCTGAGGCCCACGGACGGGCCGGAGTACGGCCCCACCCAGTTCCAGGAGGCCCGCCTGGAGCAGTTCCGCCTCTTCTTTGTCACCCAGGTGCGGTGGCCCCCGGCCGAGCAGCTGCAGGCCCTGCTCCCCGTGCAGGTGCAGCTGCCCAGCGAAGGCCCTTAGCAGCGGCACCAATAAAGCAAAGCCCTGGACCTCCGCTGTGCGTGCTGCGTGCGTAGGAGCACCCCTGCCGGAGGGAGCAGAGCGCCGTCTAGACACCTGGCCAGGGGGGCCCGGCCTGAGGAAACTGGTTTGCAGGACTTGGGGTGCCCCTGCTGGAGGTGGGAGCAGCAGAGTGGGGAGACCTGGGAGCGGGTGTGGTGTGAGTGGTGGAGTCAGGCAGCCAGAGGTAAAACGTAGTCAATTTTATTTCCTTAAACCACAAAATAGAGTCTTTGGTTGTACAAACATCACTAGTTACAGTCTTGCCAAGAGGTCCCAGCTGGGGAGGGAACGGTTAGTCACGGCCAGAACTCCTGAGGGGTCTCTAAAACCTAACGCCAGGTTAAAAGACTCGGGGCGGGCGGTGGTGCTGGCGGCCCCACCCCAAGTCCGGGAGGGGACGGCCCTTAGGAGGGCACAGGGCCCAGGCCCCGGCGCCCCGGCCGCAGGGGGCGGCGGCTGCTACACAGGGCCCCGTCCTCAGGGCCCACGGCGTCCGGCGAAGGCCTGCCCAGGAGCACCAGGGCCACCTCTCCGTCCTCCTCCTGCAGGCCTGCGGGCAGAGGCGGGGTGAGAGGGAGCCGGTGCCCCGCGCTCCCCCACCCTGGCCCGGCCACTCACCGGGGCTGGGGGACGGCTCCAGGCACCGCAGCTCCTCAGCGAAGTCCGGGGACTGCGGGGAGAAAGGCGGGGTCAGGCTCTGCCCCACCTTCCGAACCACCCGAGCGCGCCGGCCCGGGTGGGGGCCCGCACCCCAGGAGCAGGTCTGCCCAGAGAGGGGGCGCTGGAGGGGCCCGGGCCGGGCCCGGTACCTGCAGGTCACAGACAGGCCTGGAGGAGGGCAGGGCGGCGAACACCCTGTAGTCGAACTTCCTCCCAGACAAGGCCTTAGAGGACAGCATGAGGAGAGAGGCAGAGCGAGCTGAGAGAGGGCGGGGGCCGGCCCCTCGCGGCGGGCGGGCGGGGTGGGGCGGGGCGGTCCTCACCAGGCGTCCAGGGGAGCTGCCGGTCAGCGGGCCGAGGTCTGGGGGGACAAGAGACGGGTGTCGGGGGAGGTCGGCGCTGCAGGCCAGGCCTGGATCCCCCCGGGCGCACGGACCTTCCAGGGGGGTGGGCGACGGGGTGGGCGCGGGCGAGGGGGCCTCGGCCAGCCGCTCCAGGGGCCCCCGCTTGCCGCGGCCGTCCTGGGACTTGCTGAGGACCATCTGCGCGCGGAGGGCGTCCTGCTCCAGGGACTTCATCCTGCGGGGGCGGGGGCGGAGGCAGGGCTGGGCGGGCGGGAGGCATGGGCGGCGGCGGGGGCGGCCGCGGGCGGCGGCAGGGGCAGGGGCAGGGGCGGCGGCGGGCCTCACCTGGCCGCCCTCCACAGCGCTCGCTTCTCGGCCTCCAGCGCGCGGCGCTCGGCCGGGGACAGGGCCCGCTCGGGCGCGGGCAGCTCCGGGCTCTGCACGCGCAGCCGCTCCTGATGGCGCCGCTCCGCCTTGGCCGTCCGCACGGGGGCGCTGCCTCCCAGGGGCGCCGGGGACGCGGGGAGCAGCCTGGGGGGGGACAGGAGGGCCAGTGGGCGGCGCCCGGAGGGGGCGGGGCGGGGCCGGAGGCGCTGGTTCCCGGGCCTCACCCTGCAGCGGGGGCGCCGGCCCACGGAGGCTCGTCCTCGGGCTCCTCGCTGTCCGGGGCCTCCCCGTCCGCGAGCCCCGCGTCGGCCGCCTCGCGCAGCATCTGCGCCCGCTTCTGCTGCAGCTTCCGGGCCTCCTCCTCCTGCATCTTGCGCAGGTCGTCGGCGCCCACCAGGGACACGCGCTTGGGGGGGCCCTCGGCCTGCGGCGCGCGCACCTCCAGCTCAAAGTACTTCTGCCGCTCGCGGAAGGACAGCTGCTCCGGGGAGGCGGTGCGGCCCGGCGTGCAGGGCTGCGGGGAGGGGGTCTGAGCCGGCTTCCTCCTCGGCCTGCACCCCTCCTCCCCGGGCGGGCGTATGCGGCCCGGCGGGAGGCCCGCGCCGCACCGCACGTACCGGGGCAGCTGGGTCCGGGGGCGGGTGCGGGGCCGGCACCGCGGCGAAGGTCCGGTAGGCTCGTTTCACATCCGAGGGCAGCTCGTCCGGGGAGGGCGGGGAGGGGGGCTGGGGGAAGGCTCTCCTGAGCTGCGTGGGGACAGCTGTCCCGGCCCCAGCCACCGCCCACCGCCCTCAGCTGTTGACTCAGCTCCGACCTCCACCCCCCGCCCGCGGGTCAGGGCACTCACAGAGCAGGGACTGCCTCTGCCCCCGGGGGCCGGGGAGCCCCTTGGCCAGACCTGAGCCCGTGGCTGGATCACCCCGGGTTTTGTCTGCAAAGGGCAGGGTCCAGAGGGCGGGACCAGGGGTTCAGGCCAGGGGTGGGGATGGAAGGGAAAGACAGAGATGGAGCCACGGTGGCAGCAGGGCGGGTGCCCAGGTCCCCATGCAGCAGAACCAGGGAGTGGGGCAGGGCCAGGTGCAGGAAGGAGGCCGTGACCACCCAGCCCCACGGCCCCAGGGCCCCCGGAGCTCCCTGCTCCATGCCAGCCAGGTCTGGCCAAGGTGCTGTGGGCTGTGCCCTCCCAGAACGACAGGTGCACCATAGGTGCTGCCCCGGCCCCACTTCCTGGAGGACAAGCACCCATCTTGGAGGGCACTCACCTGTTGGTGGCCGGGGGAGTGAGGAGCGTCAGCCATCTTCCCTCCAGCGGCCCCAGGCGGTACCTGGAGGAGCCAGGAGCCGGGTGAAGGTCAGGCAGGGCGGGGGCCCATAAGGGGTTGGGGAGTGGGGTGCTTGCCTGGTGCAGAGGCTGATGCTCAGCTCCCGGACCCAGCCACAGCCCAAGGGAGCTGCCCAGATGGGCCCAGCCAGCACCAAGGCTTTCCCCCAAAGGGCTGTGTCCTGGAGCCCCCTAGGTGTCCCCCCCCTCCACTGCTGGAACAGAGGGCCTGGCCTCGGAGCTGCCCCCGCCCAGGTGTCTGGCAGTGGGCAGCCGGGAGCTTCAGAGAAGTAGGGACACAGACAGACCAAGAGGAAACGAGACCGAGTCCGGCTGGGGCCTGTGTGCTGTCCCACAGCTGCCCTCCGGTCAGAGGACACGTCCCACCGCCCCGGGCCTCCTCTCCAGCTGCTCCCGGCTGAGGCTGGCCCAGGTAAAGCCCCTCCAGCTGCTCCCGGCTGAGGCTGGCCCAGGTGAAGCCCCTCCAGCTGCTCCCGGCTGAGGCTGGCCCAGGTGAAGCCCCTCCAGCTGCTCCCGGCTGAGGCTGGCCCAGGTGAAGCCCCTCGGCCCTCACCTCCCTGCCCTCCGAGGCCCTTGGCCAGCACCGTGGCGCCCGCCCGCCCACCACTCACGTCCGTTGGGGTCGCAGTGGCGCTGGTGGACAAGCCTCTGGGCTATTTATACTCGGGAGGAACAGGCCTGGCTGTCCGTCCTGCCCGCGCCCACGCCTGCCCCAGCCAGCTGTCGGCTGCCCCCCAGCCCGGCCTCCATAGCTCCCGGCAGCTGCTCCAGCCCGTCCTCTGGTGATGGCTCGGTGCAGTTAGGGGGTTGGACCCCTGCCAGCGGGGCGGCCACCAGCAGGTGAGTGCCCGCCAGCCCTGCAGGCCCTGACCCGGTTCCACCTCCACCCGCTCGCTCTGGCGAGGGTCTCCCATGGCTTCAGCCTGGGCCCCGTACAGGAGCCGGTGGCCCCACCCTGCTCGGCCCTTCAGGGCCTCAGGTGACGGCAGGGATGGGTCCAGCAAACAGGTTGCCGGGGACTCGGCCCTGGGAGCCAAGGACCCGGCGCTGAGGAGGGGCGGGCGGTGACGCAGGCGAGGCGGGCAGCCCAGAGAGCCGTGGAGGCGCCTGGGACACGCTGCCCGCGCCCCGTGTCCCGGGGAGCACCCGCCGGCCAGCACTCACCGCGGCCTCCGGTCCCCACGGCGGCGCCGGGCCCGGCAGCTCCTTCTCCTGGGGGCAGAGCAGACGGCGGTCGGTCGGCACCCGCGGCCCCGGGCTGCCGGCCCCGGGCTGCCGGCCGCAGGCGGGGCTCACCTTGCCGGGGCCGTCAGGGCTCAGCTCCCGGTCGACGGAGGACACGCTCTCCAGGCTGTTGCGGCGGCTGATGCCAGCAAAGGGGTTGGCGATGACGCCCGGGGACACCTAGGGGCGGCACACGCGTGTGGACTGGCAGCACTGTTGGCCCCAGGACCCTGCCCCGTCCGTGGTGAGGCGAGCGTGAGCTGTGTGCTGCCTCAGGCCGTGGAAGCCGTCCCGACGGACCTGCAGCGGCTCCAGGAGCGCAGCTGCGAGGCGTCACTGAGCCGTCGAGGCGGGCACAGCGGGCACCGACACGGCGGGTGCCCAGGGCGAGTCTCCCTCCAGGGACGCCGAGCAGAGCCTGGCTGGCCGGGGTGTGGGCCCGGCTGCCCTGGCGCTGCCCTGGGAAAGGCCTCGGCTGCAAGCTCCCGGCTGCGCCCCGGGAGGGCAGTCCCGGTGAGCGGACGGCGCCCCCGAGGAGTGCCGCCGGGAGGAGCAGTTCACCGCCTTCGGGGACTGGCCAGCCCAGGCCACCTGCTCCGCTCGTCCTCCTCGGCCGAAGCCCCGCACGTCAGGAGCAGGCGGCCGAGCCCTGCCCGGTGCCCGCCTGTGCCCGTGGCTCCGCCCGCCCCGCCGGCTCCGCCCGCGGCGCCCGGCACTAACCTCGGCGGGGGCGTCGAAGCCGTCGCACACGAGCACGGTGAGCGTGTCGCCCGCGCTGCGCAGCAGCTGCACGGCCTCGGCGTGCGTGAGGCCCAGCAGGCTCTGCTGGTTCACCTCCAGCAGCCGCAGCCCCACACGCAGGCGGCCGTCCCGCCCGGCGGCTCCCCCGGGGCTCACCTGCCGGGACAGCAGCGGCACCTCAGGACGCCGCCCGCCCGCCCGCCCGCGCCCGCGCCCGCCGGCGGGCCCTCACCTTGGAGATGAAGATGCCCTCGTCGGTGGGGTCGCAGGGGTTCCCCGCGTGGCCCTT